GATGGTAATCTGATGGTACTATATCTGGAGAATATGGTGGGAGGGGAAGAACTTCCCAACTCAACTCCATAATCTTGTGTTGCATCAAATGTGCCACATGTGGACGTGCATTATTGTGGAGAAGAAGAACACCTTTCCAATTGACGAGTGAAGTGCGTTTCTGAGGTAGGGCTTGATTTAAATGTTCTAGTTGCTGACTACAGATCTCTGCAATGACAGTTTGCTGTGGATTGAAGAGTACGAAATGAAATACTCCTTTGATGTCCCACCGAATGCAAAGCATCGCTTTCTGCAGATCGAGTCCAGGTTTTTGAATCGGAAGTGTTTTTTGTCTAGGACTGAGCCATTGTTTTTGGCATTTAGTATTCGCATAGAGAATCCATTTTTCATCACTGAGTGATAATTCTGTTGAAAAATGGTTCACGCGCATTATGCACCAGAAGAGATGAAGCAAGGTTCACATATTGGAAATTATGATCATTGTTCGTGCGGCACCCAAACACCTTCATTGTGGAGTTTTCCCATATTCCTTAGACGTTTGCGTATTGTTTTATGAGAGACATGCAATTTCAGGGCCATTGCATGAGTGTGTTCCCTTGGGTTAGACTGAACAAGCATCATCAGAGCATCAATATCAATTCCAACATGTCGGCCCCTGCCATCGTAGTTTTAAGGCTAAATTCACCTGAAAGAAATTTGCTGAACCATCATTGACACTTACGAATGTTCAAAACCATAAACTTCTTTAACATTCTTTGTGGCTACAGAGGAGTTGTTTCCCTTCTTGTATTCAAGCAGCATTACATGCCAAATGTGTGTCTCATGGTGTGCCATCACTATAAGGGATTTGAGTGTACAAAACTTTACACATTATATAGGCTACACTAACGTGACGTTTAGGCGGTTCATTTAACTATTATACATGATGTACATTTTTTGGAGGGTGGTTAATGAAAGTGTTCTAAAATGCAACATTAATTTCTTGACAACCTAATATTACAGATAAAAATGCATTGCATTAGAAACATCTTACAAACTGTTTGTTTTATGTAAAACTTTGATTGTATATTTATCATCCCTTCTTTTATTACAGGAAGCTGACAATTGGACAACTTTGTCATCTGATGTAGAACAGGTTTTTGAGTCTGGAGCCATCAGTACTGTATGTGAATAATTTTTTTTTTTGATCACATTCTTTCTTAAAATTTTGTAATTGTAAGTTACTCCATTCCTGACTACAAATATTCACATACATATAGTGTTTTGGAAATGTGATAACTTTCTTATAGTTTTGTGTGCAAGACCAAGTTTCCAGTTGTTTTTTTAAAATTTAAAAATTACTTGATTATCTGCTGGTGATAAAATTATCTCTAGTAATTTAAAGCCGATGTATCTAACACATGATAAGTAATTTACACTTACATCTATCATGTAACTTGACTTTTGATACAAGTACTTTAAAAAATCAGAGTTCTGTTTCACTTTAATAATCTACAAAACATCAATATTAAATTATGTAATTATGAAACTTTTTAACTATTAATACAATGGCATTAATAATTTCTGTAACAAAAGTTATCCATGGACAAGAAAAAATCTCCACTTGGCCATTTGTAGCGAGATGTAATATTTACAGATGTCCGATTTTGTGTGTGCATGCACCATTATTGAAATCTACTTTTTCTGTGTACCGAGATATTGGAATATACATTGAGACTTCTTTCTATGGGATTTTGCATATGTAAACTTAAATAGATATACGATATATATATCCCAACAAAACATTATCTGTATATAAATATAATTAGCAGAATTCTTCATATTTCAGGTGCTGTAAAAAAATGGAGGATATATATATATATATATATATATATAT